CTCAGGAAGCCTGGCATCGCGCCCCCTTTTAAAGGCGCAGTGTTTCAAGGCGCGCCTTGGTTGCCTGCAGATCCTAGGAGAGGGGGCATTCAGAGCCGAGATGCGGAAGAAATAGACACACGGGTGACATATCCAGCCCCTGGACCGGCTGCTTGCGCTCGAATCCTTGTCTGGGGTCTGCTTCGGATAGAACCCAAGTCAAGACAATGCGTCTATCAGCCATGACTTGATTCTTGGCTCTGTGTCACCTCCATGAAGGGCCTCCAGAGTCCCCATTTCTCATCTGTGAGACGGAGGCGACAATGAACATTCACCCCACAGGGTGTTGAGAGAATGAAAAGAAAAGAAAAAAGACTATGCTATGCATCTAGTGCAAAATAAGTGCTCCAAAAAGCCAGCTTCCTCCTTTCCAAACCAAATCATACCCCGACATTTCTTCTCTTCTTTTCGTAGGAGCCAAAGTATAAGAGTGTTCTGAGCTACTCTGCTCATTTGCTCTTTTGTTTATTTATTCTCCTCCTACATGTTTACTTTTTATTATAAAGATGTGGGGTACAATTCAGGGTTAGGTATACATTGTTTATGCAGGTACCCTTGTTGAGGAGGTATGCCCCTCCCTCCCCCAGCAGTTTCCCTCAACTACCAGTCCCACCCTCCCATGACAGTTTCCCATTACTGCCAAATACTTTCTTATAGTATCATGCTAATTGTGCAAGGTCCACTTATGGCTTATAAGAACATGTGATACTCAGTTCTTTGTTTCTGTAATAGATCACTGAGTAGGATCGACTCCAAATCCATCCAAGTTGCTGCAAAGTCCATATATTTGTCCCTTTTTTTTTTTTTTTTTTTTTTTTTGAGTTGGAGTCTCACTCTGTCACCCAGACTGGAGTGCAGTGGCTGCTTCTGGCCACGGCAGCCTCTACCTGCTGGGCTCCGGCGATCCTTCCTCCTCAGCCTTCCGAGTAGCTATTTGTCCTTCTTTATGGCTACATAATATTCCACTGTGTTTACGTACCACATTTTCTTTATCCAGTTCGGCTTCGATGGTCAACATGGTTGGTTCCATGTTTTTGCTATTGTGAATAGAGCTGCAACAAACATACATGTGCAGATATCTTTTTGGTAGAGTGATGTGAATTCCTCTGGAGAAAAAAGAACGCTTTTTCGCTGCTGGTGGGAATGCAAACAAATGCAACCTCCTTGGAAGACAGTATGGCGATTTCTGAAAGAACTTGACCTTCCATGTGACCCAGCAATTCCTCTATTGGGAATATACTCATTTACTCTTGAATATGCCCCAGAACAGTGAGGCAGGAGGGAAGAATGGGAAAATTAGGAGGCCTGGCCCTGAAAAGAAACCTTTGGAAGCTCTGAAAACAAAAGATAAACAAGTGTTTCTCTGCAGAGAAAAGTTCCAATGGAGAAGTTCTCCAGAAGGATATATGAGAGTTCCTGCTGGTATTTAAATAACTAAGGTTGTTTGTTTTTGTTTTTGTTTTTTTTTTTTGAATCAGGGTTTCACTCTGTCACCCAAGCTTGGGTGCTATGGCATGATCATGGCTTGCCATAGTCTCAACATTCTGGGCTCAGGAGATCCTTCCGCCTCAGCTTCCCGAGTAGCTTGGACTACAGGTACATGCCACCGCACCCGACTAATTTGGGGATTCTTTTGTTGGGTTGAGGTCTCGCTATCTTACCCAGGCTGGTCTCAAACTCCTGGACTCAAGCAGTTCTCCCAGCTCAGCCTCCCAAAGTGCCAGGATTACAGACTGAGCTTTACAGGGAAATAAGCAGTATGATCACCCCTACCACTATTTGAGAGCTCATAATGTGCCAGGAGTTCAGTCATAATCTCTCTTTATCCTCATAATTTTTAAAGTAAATGCTATTTTTAATCTGTTATGTAAATGATAAAACTAAGGCTCGAAAAGATAAAAACGTTTTCCCAAGGTGACAGCCAGGGTTTGAACCCAAGTCTACTTGACTCCAAACCTCAGCTTCAATTGCTTTGGTGGACAGGATTGTGGGATTGGGTATAGCCTAAGGATATGGAAGATGTGGTCCTGGTCCAGGCTTGACCTCTAAATCCCTATGTATTTCAGGGGTTAATTCTTCCCTCCTCAGGGTGATGATTCTCTCATTTGTAAAAGGAGAGAGTTGAGTTAAAACTGGTTCTTGTGGATGTTTTAGAAGTGTGTGCAGGTGGTTGGTACTAGGGTGAGATGGCCCTCTCTAGTACTGCATGGCTGAGGACCAAGGCAAGTAGATGCCCTATGATATGATGCCTAGAACAGTCCTGCCCAATAAAAAAATAACTTCATGTCCCACATATCTCTCAAAATACTTGTGTAGTTGAAAAAGGCCAGCCCGGTGGCTTATGCCTGTAATCCCAGCATTTTGGGAGTCCAAGGCAAGAGGATTGTTTGAGGCCAGGAGTTTGAGATTAGACAACATAGTGAGACCCCATCTCTACAAACATTACAAAAATTAGCCAGGTGTGGTGGTGCATGCCTGTAGTCCCAGCTACTTGAGAGGCTGAGGCAGGAGAATCGCTTGAGTCCAGGAGTTAGGGGCTGTGGTGAGCCCGTGATCGTGCCACCACCCTCCAGTCTGTTGGTAACAGAATGAAACCTTGTCTCAAAAAAAAAAAAAAAAAGGGGGGGGGAGGGAGGGAGGAAGGAAAGAAGGAGGAGTTATGTGAACCTAGACCCTAACTCCATTTTACATGTGAAAGCAAAGCAATCTTACAGTTTTCATGCACAATGATTTTTCAGAGTCAGTTGAGGGAAGAATGTACTTTATTTTATGATAAATTTTACCAAGAGTTGGCCATCATTTGAAAACTCTTATCACCAACAATGAAACACAGGATATGCATTAGTAGAGCATCATCCCCTTCACTTTGCATTTGTTCTGATCATGAGCATCGTTGCAAATATCTTTGTATTTCACGGGGTCTTTGAGTATAATCATCCCTAGTCATTTGTATATTGAAATAGTCATCACTACATTATTTTTATTTTTCCTTTGTAGATTGGTTAGGATACTATATTGATTAAAAATAAAATACATGTGTAGACAGGTTTATTGTCAGCAAACTTCATTTCAAAATATTTAAGGTGGCATTATAAAATATTTGTTTGAAAAGGGGAACTCTGGGCACAGGGATAGAGGTTCTCATCTCTCTATAAGCTGAAACATTATACCACCAATACGAAGCCAAGAACCAAGATGCACACTCTGTAAATATATTCATCTACTCAAGGATGACTTATTATCACTGACTCTGAGTCAGGTACTGCTGTGGATTCTGGGGACATAGCTGAGGATGTGAAGGACCTGAGTCTCCAGCTTTGTGAAACTTTCCCTAGAAAAAGCAAAGGGTCGTGTCTTAGTCTATTATTTCTGCTAGTATAACAAAATACTATGGATTTGATAATTTATAAACAACATATATTTATTGCTAATAGTTCTGGAGGCTAGGAAATCCAAGATCAAGTGCCAGCAGATTTGGCATCTGGTGAGGGCCCCTAACTCATAGATGGCACCTGCTCTGTGTCCTTACATGGCAGAATGGGCCAAGGGCTCCCTCATAAGGGCACCAAGGCCATTCGTGAGGACTCCACCCTTATCACCCAATCTCCTCCAAAAGGCCCAGCCTCTTAATACTACCCTATGGGCAATTAAGTTCCAACCTATGAATTTTAGAGGGACACCAACATTCGGACCACAGCCACTCATATCTACTAAAGTTAAATATTTGCCTAGCCTAGGATCACTACTTCTTACTTTGTAAAATCTTGAGAGTATCACTTAGCTTGTCTGAGATTCCATTTTCTCACCTATAACGACACTAACGTGAAGCAGATTCACCGTGCACTGGCTCCCAACTTGTCTGAGTTCAGTAAGACAGAACGCACTCATGCATAAAAAGTTACATGAACTGTGTTTATCGCTTACAGACAGGCAAGCGGGATAAGCGGGAGATGGCTGGTATAGCCGGAGCTCTGTTTCCGTCCCTCCCAAGAAACAAGATGGACATCGTTATGGTCAACAGGGGTCTGGGATTCATTGTGAGCCAGTCCTCAAAGTTCAGGAAAGCTACCTGGGGTAGATGAAGCCTTGTCTGCGTGTTTTTAACTTGCACCACAGCTAAGGAACCCCAGAAAGCAGCCCACCCTGGGTTTTATCCCCCAAGGTCACATGACATGCGGGGCCAAAGCACCGAAGGACATCTTGTTTCTTGGCAGAGACAGAAACAGAGCTCCAGCTATACCAGCCACCTCCCGCTTATCTCAAGATGCTTCATTCCTAACACATCCTACTGTTATTCTTGAGGATCACAAGTGAGAAGGCAGGGAAAACTGGATCGGTCCCACCTGGAGCACTATCCTGCAAATAACAATTTGCTCCGCTCAGTTTGCTTAGCGGATTCAAGACATAACACATGTAAAAGTGTCCATGACTATTTTTATGCTTAATAGCTATCTGTTTCTTCTAGGCGAATTTCACACTCCATTAGCTCTGACTTCCCAAAAGCAGAGCTTGTGTCCATGATGGCAAATATGTGACATTTGTGTTCCCCACTACCTCCTCCTGAGCCTTGGAGGACATAGCTAATCAATGATGACACTCTTCCCTGCTGACCCTTAAAATCCATCTCAACACAGGACTCCCTGAGGCTGCGCCACGCCATGAGAACTGGCACATGAAAGAAAACTTATTTGCCTCCTGACCTGTGTCATATTCATCTTTGCCTTCTCTGTAGTATCTAGTGCAAGAACTTGTCAAGCCTGTGAAAAAATGAAAAAAGAGCTGATATTAGCTTCTAAAACTCAATATGCTCAGGCTGAAGATTTTTTTAATGTATTGCCTCTTAAATCCTCACACACACACACAAAAATCCTATTAAAAAAAGCACAGTTCTTGTTAAGAAATAAAAACTCAGACTTATTTAAGTAAGAAACACCTGTGCATAGAGGCTAAATGGCCAAGCCATGTTCAAATCCAGGTCTGTCTGCCCTGACACCCAAGGCCTGTCCACCATGGCATGCCACACTTCATCAAATGTGGACATCCAGTGCACATCTAACACTGGCAAAGAGATATGTAATTCCTGCTGTCGTCCCTCAACAAGTATGAACACATCACCCAGAATCCAGAACAAGGAAAACAGACAAGCATTATCCTATTAGGAGTGAGTTAAAAGAGAATATAGGATGTGATTTCATGCCAAGAAGCAAATAAAAATAAGTGAGGCCTGATGATTGAAAGGGAGCAAGACAGAACCAACAGTCTGCAAGACTAACACTTTACTGGCTGCTAATTCTGCAGTTTTGCTTTTTCAAACATGAACTCATTAGGTATTCTGCTAATAGAGCCAAAAGCGCCTTCTCTAATCCCAAGTGAAGTGCAGCTAAGCACTCTCCCCAGAGCCTTGTTTCTCTTGCTTTCATTTTCGTTTGCCTCCTGCTGGTTCCACGTATCTCATCAGAAACTGGAGGTGGGAAAACAGAGCTGGTCCCTGATGAAACAGAGCTTTCTCATGGGGAGGACCAAGAGGATACACTGAGTGCAAACCCCATGTATGTCAAAGCCACTGTTTTGAACCTGAAAGTACACGTCACAGCATCCTCTCTCTTAAGGAGGGCATGACCACAGAGAGGAAACAAGAGAAAAGACTGGGAGGAGGAGAAATGCTAGAACATCAGAGCCGGGGGGGGCCTGTGGAGGTCACCCTGTCCATTTTCCCAAATGACAACCATGTTGGTTGTATTCTTATGTCATCTGTACTATTATTTACTTATTCTTTTTTTTTTTAATCAGCTCACTTATTTAATTAAGCTCATCCCAAGCAATAATATCAATGAAATAATATATTTGACGTGTTGGTTATACTTTCTCCTAATAAACTTTAAGCATGGTAACTATGAAAATGAAAACTGCTCATCCACGCATCACATATCAGTTCATATGTCTCTAGCAGGACATGTACCACACATTGAGAAGACAGATCGTTCATTGAATTCCAGGCTTTTTTTTTTTTCTCAGTGAAAATGTAATGATGATAGGGATTTTAAAGAAACCCCCAGGCTGGGCACAGTGGTACATGGTCGCACTCTCAGAGCTTTGGGAAGCTGAGATGGGAGGATCCTTTGAGGACAGGAATGAAAGATCAGCCTGGGCAACATAGCAAGACTCCTGTCTCTACAAAATAATAATAATTATCTGGATATGGTGATGTGCACCTGTATATCACCTCAAGAGGCTGAGGTGGAAAGACAGCTTAGAGTCCAGGAGTTCAAAGCTGCTATGAGCTGTGATCACACCACTGCATTCCAGCCTGGGTGACAGAGCAAGACCCTGTCTGGAAAGGAAGGAATGGAGGGTGGGAAGGAAAGAGGGGGGAGGCAGGGGGGAGGGGACAGAAGAAAACCCAGTCTATTCAACAGATAAAAGCTGGACAGGGTGCCTTGGAAATTCAGCCTCTTGGTATCCACATTGTTGCTCAACCTGCCCAAGTTCCCAGACATCCCCAGGTTGAAGGCTCAGCAAGAAGCATTGGGAACTGTGTTTGGGCTCCAGCTATTGTCATGAAGAGAAGGAAACTAAAGCATAAAAGAGAAATTATGACAAGGGGTGGCAAATGAAGTTATTGCAGAAATAGATTTTGAACCCAGCACTTGATATACATCTAGAGATTTTTTGCACCACCTTGTGGCCTAGAAAACCTTCAACTTGGGCCAAAAAAAAAAAAAGATGGTGCATAGTCTCCCCCAACCTCTCTCCCCTTTCAGACCTACTGGTTTGGAAAAACATTTGAGGTGAGAGAAGAGAAAATCTGTGGCTAGGAAGGAAGGCAATGGGGTAGAATTTGGACAATTATGGCTAGAGTGCTACTTTTTCAGAAAGATCTTTGGACTGAAAATATAAAACTGATGCTTGAAAACCTCAGGGTGACAAACACAATTCAAATGCACCTAGATCACGTGGGTCCTTTTGTTTTCCCTTGAAGGATATTTGAACTGGTTGAAGCATCTCTAGATGCACCCATATACCCAAATCCTACCCCGGCAGCACCAAAGACTAATTTCAGACAATCTCTATACCTCTAACCCCTTCCTCACCTGCAACTCTTCTCTGTTTGCCCCCCTCCAACTCCCTAAGACTTTTCTCTCGAGGAGCGTCTGTTCCCATTGTTAACTTAAAAATCACAAGATCTATAAATTTAAGAACAGAGATTTTATTCTTGTAAAGGGGTTGCAGTCTGCAAGGTGGTTATCTCACAGGCTGAAAAGCATACCTCCATCAGAAGCCCAGAGATGAGTACTTCATAGGAGGAGGGGTTAGGGTATGAGCTCTATGCTGAATGGGTTGGCTCAACGCATATTCAGCAGGTTATAGGAGGATTCATGAATATTCATGAAGGTGGTCTTGACTCATTAGTATTGGTCAAACATGCATGTTACATATGGCCTATGTTTGCCTTGGTGTGGACACTTAACAATTAAATGTGCTATAATTAGGCCCTCTCTGTAAAAAAAAGTCTTTAGGACATGAAGGCACACAAGTGTGCAATTCTGTAAACCAGCCAGAACCTGTGCCTGTTTGACTGTCTTCTTATCAGGAGAAAGTTACTGAAATCAGTCTTTGTTCAATCAAAGCTATAGTTGAGCTGGGGAACAGGGGGTCAGAAACAGTCAGTGTTCAGTGGTGAGCTGCAATTGTTTCGATGTTGCTGATCACAAGGCCAGTGTTTGTTTAGCTGCCAGAGGGGAAAAAAAAACACCTTGTGGCAGTTAGAACATAGTTTCTTCTTTAAGGGGTTCATGACTTCACCCTTGTCTGACATGGCCTTAGGTCCTGCTTATAATTTGGCATTTTATTGCCACAAAGAGCCTGTTCTGTCAGTCGTATGATCTCTATTTTAACATTAATGCAGGTCAGTCTATTGTGTCTAAACCCCAGTAGGGAGGGGTTATAATGAGATGTGTCTGACCTCCTGTCCTGTCGTGGCTGGGAACTCAGTTTCGGGGTTTTTCTGGGTTGCCCCTGGCCAAGGGCATTCACTTAGTGGAGAGCTTAGGATTTTGTTTTAGTTTACGTCGTGTAGAACAAATTGGCTGCTGCCACTTTTCTAAGTCTCCTCCCCACCCCTGATGCTGACACACACAACACAGGGAGTGTAACCCACCCGGCCAGGGATGAAGTTTACCTCCTTCAAAGGCTAGAAAGGAAGTCACAAGTAATAAAATTCAGTAGTTTTTTGCATCCACCATATTCTAGCTCAATGTGAGGAATCTCGTTCAAACAGCCAAAGCTTCCCAGAGAGGGGCTTGGCCACTTTTGGAACAGGGGCTATCCCACTAGAGGATTACATAAGGAGGAACTGTGGGAGGTTCTGGCCTCAAATGAGTTGTGCGGGCTGATCACTAATACTTCCTTCCAGCCCTGCTGTTCTCTGATGCTACAGGAGTCTTGTGGTCTTGGGGTCACGGTGAGGTAGGCTATGAGATATGAGACAGTTTGGGGAAGCGTCTTTGATTGAAAAGCATCTTTGACTCTAGCACAGGAATCAGAAACCTTTCTCTGAAAAGAAGCAGATAGTGCAAATGTGGTCTCACTGCAATTATCCCAATCAGTCATTGTCATACATGCAAACAGCCATAAACAATATGTAAACAAACACGGGTGGTTATAGTCTAATAAAACTTTATTTTACAAAACAGATAAGGGTTAAGTCTTAAATTATTTATAAATAAAAAGTTAACTAATACGGGTGGCAGGCAAGACTTAACCTGCTGGCTGCAGTTAGCCAGCCGTTGCTCTAGAGGAAGCCTGTCAACCTAGATGCCTCGCCTCTTTCATCCTGCTTTACCCAGTCAGTCACCACCTCCTGCATTTTCTTGTGACCTCCCATAAGAGAAACAAGCTAGTCCTTTTAGGTAATCAAACCCACATCAACCACAGTGGACAACCGAAGGAGGATCCCAAACTCACTTCCCTTTTGAGGGACGTGCACAGATTTCTTAGAGTGTCAATGGTCACTAAAACCTCAGGATGGAAGGGTTTTGACATTTCAACCAGGAGAACAGTTGGACGTTTAAGGGTGTGAAGCATAAGCCTCCATGCTTCCATACTTTTAACTAAGAGAGACCCAAGGAACTATATGAGTATTGAGACACAGTACTGCACTTTCCTAAAGAAAGGCGAGTATCAAATAACTCCAGTATTTAGTGCTTCAGTTTACTGTGTTGGAGAACATGGATTAATATAGGCCTTCTGGTTCTCTCCTAAATTCCCAAAGACCTCTAAGTCTATCTAGATGTGCACCAATGCTCAAGAACCGGCCCAAAGGCCACCTCACCAAGAGCTACTATTTTGAATTTCTCCCATAACCAGAGCAGTGATCCCTTTGAGTTTACACCTATGCAAAGTTTGTTCCTACGCATTGGATTAGCAATAGGAGCTTTTTATTGGTGGTAGGGCTTTGAAAAAGTTTGGATTTAGAAGATGCTGACAGGTGAACTGATGATGGATCCCCTCACATACATTTTTTTTAAACACATGTGAATCTAAATAGAATTGTAACAAAGCAGTCTTGTTGGGAGAAAAGGGTTTGGTATTTAGCTATCACAGCACATCCAATGGACAATGGTAGACCTACCTGAAGACAGGTGGTGGGAATAAAAGAATGTTCAAGAAGAGGAAGATGAAGTATGGACTGGGAAACCCAGGCCTAGGCTGTTGGAACAGAGGCTGGTTCTGGGTAGTAAGTGGATGGTGCTGTAACTCATTGCAAA